GGCGCAACACTGAGGGTTGCGATCCGTTGCTGGACACGAAAAAAGACAAAAAGGAAAAAAATAAAATAAAAAAATAAAAAGTCTTGGTGATTAAAAATTAAACTTTATTTATCTTGAAAATTTACTTATATGGGACACCTCATTTCCCAGTGATATGTAGTGATATATTTCTATGTATTAAGAATGAGTTATAAAAAATTATCATTCAATACTACATATTATATAATCTTATAATAAAAGTTTTTAATATTTTAAGGTTTTTATATATTGTCAAAAGATTTTCACATATTCATCTGAAATGCACTTGAAAGATCATGTTTAACAAAATAGATGGTCGTTATAAAAGAAAAGAGACACACTAAGTATATCAAAGTCCTTCCTTATATGGTGACATCATTCAGAACTGGATGTAGGAGGATGATAGGCTTTACTTCTTAAAAAAAAAAAGTTAAACATACAAATCATGATCAAACAGCAAATTTAAATTGATTGAGGTAGCACATTCACATAATGCAGTACCAGTACTGCTAATCCTCCACATTGTCTATTAGGGCAGTAGGACTTAAGATATTGTTGAGATAACTGGCTTCCATTAGCAAGTATGTGATTGGCAGGATGATAAAGTCTTTTCACTCACAGGTCAGCTATTTCCTTTTCTTTAGAAGAGGGCAATCCTGATGATCCATCTTTTAGCTACAGTCTCTCATTGAGTCCCAATTCTCCTGCCTTCAGCTTTGATATGGTTCTAACTTTCTTCTTGTATCAGCTCATACCTGTCATCAACTCCTCTATTTAGAACAGCAAATATTGGGAGTTTGACCTCAGGGCAAAGTCCGGGTGGGCAGGTAAAATTTGACCACTGGACCTACTTCCTAATCTTTCATACCCAGCAATTCATGAAGCAGTATCAAATTCAAACTAAAAAACAGAAGCGTGACCCCTTATGAGTACTATGAAAAGGCCTCTTTAGCCTCCCTAAGTATTCTTGAAAAGAACTGTCAGCCACCCTATTAAGACAGAAATGGATCACAGACTAGAAAAAAAGAAGGAAAAGTGCAGAAACCCAACTGAAATGTAAATAAAGGTCTTAGCACCCCCCTTTACGTTTGGTGATATACTACTTCATATAAAAGTGTTAAAATAATATGCTATGAAATATCTTCACAAAGTCAGGAACATAAAAGCCCTATTGAAACTTTAAGGCATCCTTATTTAAATAATAACTAACACTTGATACAAAAAACCTGTATCATCTCATGTGAGACTAGTTTTCAAGATTAGTTTTATTTTTTGGCTAATTCCCATACTTGGCATTTTACCACTTAATTATTTGTAAATTAATTTTAAAAATATATATATAGGTGAAAAAGATTCCCTTTTCAATTTATTAAATCTAGGCTACTGAAATCATAAAATCCAAGTTATGCCACTGTGGTCCAGCAGCTAAAGACAAGAATTAGTTGCATTTACTCATTTTATAACATGAAAGTACAAGAATAGAATATGATTAAATTTTAACAATAATCAGCAGGGAAAATTATCTTAAGCCCCTTTTAAAACTGGGGGCATTAACACAAAACCTATCATGTGTTAAAGATTAAATCATAATAAATTAGCTCATCAGAATTTATTCACTAGTCACTTCTGTTGTATATTTACCACCATACTTTAAAATTGTATTTTATATTTACATAGTTCTTTCTTTCTTTCTTTTGTTTTTCATGGCTGGCCGGTACAGGGATTCAAACTCCTGACCTTGGTGTTATAATATCATGCTCTAATCAACTGAGCTACTTTTGTTTTTCATGGCTGGCTGGTACAGGGATTCAAACTCCTGACCTTGGTGTTATAATATCATGCTCTAATCAACTGAGCTAACAGGCCAGCCCAATATAATTATTTCTATATAAATCTTTTATTCCAATAATTCTATACACACGTCATAATAGTTCATAATTCCACATGTTTCATAATAGATTTATTTATTCATTTAAAAGTCTATTAAATTACACTGATGAGGAAAAGTCAATCAGGACTTAATGCGTTCTAAGTGCACATACTTGAAAAGTAAATTCAATCAAAATGACTTGAGAAGTTTATTAATACTTGCAAGTATGTCTCAATGATTCCCTAGTGAGATATATGCTTATAAAATAGCCATCTTCTATGCTGTCAAATGATGATTGTCTTTGAACTAAGAAAGTACCTGGGACCAGAGTTTTAATGTGCAATGAACCAATCATTTATTTGGACAAATCAAGGAACAGAATTTTTACTAATAGCTTCATAGAGTATGTGGATCTATTCACAATCCTACAATGAGATTACAAACTACTTAACATCATACCTAGTTAGTGCCTTACAAATTCATATAAAATGGAGAAAATATTACATAATAAATTTCAAATTTTCTGTGAATAGATTATTCATATATAATGGGAATTATCCTCAAATCATCTTCTCTTGAAGTTGTCCTTTGGACTGGAGAACATATTCATGTCCTTGCAACAGGGAAAATTACACCAGGAAGTGGTCATAACCTAATTGGTGAATGAATATGCAACCCAAACCTATTTCCAAATTGCTAAAGGACCCAGTTTGCTATAGTAGATCATCTTGTTCAGGGAAACAGGACTGCAATAGAAAGAACTCACTCTAAAGGAAATGGATGTATTGCCAATAGAAACAATCTCTTCTGGTAAACTGTAATGGAAGTTGAGAGTCCACCTTCTTCATTTTCTACTATCTTCCCCTTTGCAATAAGGCTAATCAACTATAGATCCAATTACCCATAATAGTGCTCCTTGTTTGACATAATATCTGATCATTAATTGCAAACACAACTAAATATTAATATGTTTTATATGTTCAGTGCTTTACAGACATAATTTGGAGACAGAAATGGCTTTTTCAATTTCCTTCTAAATCTGACTTGAAGATATACCACTTATTTCCACATGACTCAATATCTTACAAGGATTCCTAAAGAGTTTGTGGGTGTTTTGCTTCTCTAAAGGGCTTTTGAGCTCCATAAGGATGGAACTATCTCTTATATTACTTTTGTGTCCATTGCAACCACATATCTTCTCTCCAAATAATGAGTATATAGTATTTGATAAATACTTATGAACACTGGCTTGGAATTAGAGCAAAAATAACTCTATTCTCAAACATTTACCAAAATTAGAGTTCCTTAACCGCTCAAACTGGTCCTGCTCCAAACATCACTGTGCTAATGTCTGCTCATACCAACAGTGGGGCCTCATCTCCAGTCATTTCCATCCCTCAAACGAAATGGGCACCATTAATGGACTGATATCATAGTGCTTTGTGTTAATTCAATCTCTATGTGGTTCTTCTTGCCAAGGGCAGCAGTCACTCCTACTGTCAATTCTAGCACTCCTGAATCCTCTAACTTGGATCCTCCCCTCCTCCACACCCTTGTGACTCCCCAGCTTTATTATGCTCATTAATTCTATGATTTAGAAATAATAAGAAAAAGGAGAATGGGAAAAAAGAAAGAAAGGAGTAAAAAAAAATATGGAGAGACAGAAAAAGGAAAGAAACTAAAGGAAATGACTATAGAGTAGAGATGTCAAAGAATAGTAAAATGAATAGATTAAAAAAGCATCACATTTGTTACTAGACTTAGAGTATTGTGACCAGAAAACAATTACGTAAATGTCCAATTACCTTTTTAAAACTAGTTTTATACTTCTTTCTGAAGGCATACAGAAAATTTATAAAATAGCATTCTTTACCACTAACAAAATTTTAAGCAAGGGTTTACTTTCTAGGCTGTAATAATTTACATTTAACTTGGGTTCTGACACTGATGTTAATACCACCAATTTTAATATATGAGCATATATTAAGAAATAACTTAAACTTCAAGTGTCATAAAACCAAAGTACAAAGTTATTATTTAGTCATTTGCTTAGCAGGTAATGACTAAATTATTCACTGATGAGAATGCTCCATAAAGTTGAGACACTCAGTAGAAATAGGTTCAGAGAAAAGTATCAAATATATAGTTATCAAGGAAGCATTTTTCTAAAGATAGGTTGTTTCAAGGCAAACAAACACTTCTGCAGCACTGCAAAAAAAAAAAAAAAAGGCAACAAATGAGAAGTACATTATTATATCTTACTTGTCTGAGGTCAATAAATGCTAGCTGCAGGGTGTCCCCCTGGAATCCTGGCACAGGCTCAGAGCTGGCAAACACTATTAACAAAAAAAAGAATAAAAACAAGATTGCAAAATATATAAGAGTTTAACCACTAAATTAATTTCTGCTCATTACAAATGCTTTATAATATTTACATGTAACCATTTCAAATGAAGACTATTTATAACCGTCAATTTCCACTACTAAGACTCATGTTCTCCACACCTATTACCACAAATATTTTAATAATTTAAAACTTCTAATCTGCCATTTAATCACTGTAATCCTTAATCACAATAAATTTAGAAGGGTTATCCCACATAAAGTCCAAGAATAGTAATATACTTCAATCAAGTAAAGTTTTGACTCTTTTAGCCTTAGGTGCACAATTATAGAAGCATTTTGAAACCATACCAATTCCATGGCTGTCAACATATTTCAAAATATCTGCTTTGTTAAAGAATATGCTCTATAAAAAAATCCTACCTCTAGCTAATAGCAATAAAAGGCAGACACCAAAGTAAGAAGTCAGCTTTACATGCAGACAATAGGTAAAACGTTCTAAGTAGCAAAATCAGAATGACGCAGAGATGTCTGTTCATGCTTTTTAATACATTTTTTCATAAAGGAATCCTACCTCTTTAAAGACTAAAAGATATCTTAAGATTACAGAAACATTTCAAAAGATTTTTTTCAGTAATTTTTTGTGCTTTAAAAAACTTAATACTACTAACACAGCTTGTTTAGTTACGTTGAGGACAGTCCCAATATTATTTATTTTAAAGACAGAAGACTTTTGGCTCATAGAAAAGACCCTAACATTTTACATGCAAGCTTCTCTATAAGAATGCCTGTAATCGTTCTCCCTCCCCATTAATATCCTAATTTTCTTAGAGAATATTACAGATTTTTCCATTTGTGAATTTATCTGAGCCAGTATTTTAGAAGCCATTTAAATTCTCAGCCAACATAGTCCTTGGAATAACAAAAATCATTCTTTATTTTTTTCCCTGCCCTCTTCCTACCCTCCCTCCTCAACAAAAATAATTCTTAAGTTTAGATTATTCTGTGTGAAATATAGTTTAGAAAGGCTCAAAAAACAATAATGAAAAACAATAAATATAAGAAAACCTAGCATAGCTTAATTTATCTGGCATCTGTGGGGAATGAGACGTTCAAAGTAAATTTTTCTTGTTGCTGTTGTTTTTAAGATAATGATAACTTTTGCTTTAGCATCAAATAATATTTTAATCTTAAGCATTTTTAATGGAATTCAACAATGTATCATAATACTTCCCTTGCCTTCTACTTTTTGAGTATACTACATACTATTTCAATTTCTCCTGATTCTCTGGATCACTATTAAGAATATTTTTTGTCCTATACTACACAATAAAATTCCCAGGGGCTGCTATGGTATTAAGAACTGTTTCCTGTTACTGCAAAAAGCTTAGAATACTGTGCTGAGTTCTTGTGTCTAGCTTTTGTAATTTTTCTCTCTTGCAGTTTTAACATAAATTTTTACTCCCTGTTCTCACCGTTATCTCTCTTATTAATATGTTATCTTCAATCCTCTTAATCTAGAACTCAGCTAATCAAACACTAGAACTGTGTCTAAAGTAAGCAAATACAGCCTAAGCAAGGGCCTCTCTCACAAGTAAGGTTAATGTGTTTTATATATACCTTTGGTACTTGTACCTTTTGAGTATGAGTAACCTTTTGGTTACTCAGAGGGTACGCCATTTCCCCCCACTTACTTCTAGGTTCTCTGCTAGGTACTAAGTAGTTATAGTGATTAGATACATTAGATACATGACTAAACTCATCTTTCTCAGAACCCCTATTCCAAAAAACCATGATTTAGTGAGCAAATCTAGCCACACTTTTCAGTACACAGTATAATTTACTCACATCACTGTTTCTTCCTACAATGAAAAGTGGCACACTTTTTCATACCGTGGCATCTCCATCATCCCTACCATGTCCCAGATGTTGCCTTTCTCTCGTACTTAGTTTCTTTTCTCTAGTATGATCAGATCTTAACTGAAAAATGATAATCAAAATTTTAATAGCCCATTAAGAGAAAGTGTTTTCTAATTTTAAAAATACCTTTCTTAAGACCACCCAGCACTTTGTTGGCATTTTTAGCCACAGTCTCATGCTACTATCTCTAAGTTACAGTTTACCATGAACCCTTAGTGGTCTCCAAGGCTGTAAATGTTAGCTTAGCTTCCACCACCACCACATATACATACATATACACTTGTAAATAAAGACTTCTTATAATGAAGGTAGTCTCACTATACCTATCAGGCATAAAAATCAGCTCAATCAATTATACTTGCCATTATTATCTACCTAATCTCCCAGAATTTATCTCATTGAAAATAATCTGTCATTTTTCTTCTCCCTCAGTTCCTGTTTAAGATACTATAATTTAAGCTCCAATTGGCTTGGCAGTATACTAAAGAGCTTAGTGTCAAAATTATAACAGTACCATAAATTTATATAGCACTTTACAGTTTACAAAGCACTTTCTCATACACCATCTTCTCTGAGCATCACAATAACTTATTTTAGTAAACAGGGCATTCGGATGATAGATCATAAAATCTTGCGATGAAAAGAGACACACCCTTTGAAATACCTCCAATAGTCCCCTGAGGGCTCAGTTTAAAAGTCACCCAGGCCTTCATTTTACAGAGTGGAAAAATTAAAAGCCCAGGATCACATAGCTAATTCAGGTCTCCTGGCTTTCAACCCATTGATCTAGAATCTGATTAAGAATTCAGCCTCTCATCTTTTATCCCATTTCTCACAAGAACCTAAACTATATGGAAATGAAACTCACTAGTTTATATCCCTCAGGGCTTTTTCTCAATTATATTTTTAGAGATAGAAGGCAATTTAGCCATCTGATAATCATCTGGCACAGAGGAAAACTGTAATTATATCTATTCAATTTGGTCAACAACTTCATATTTTCCCCCTTACTTTGTTAAAATTCAAATGAAGTCAATCCTGTTGTTTCTACCTTCCAAAGTATCTCTTAAGTCTGAATCTGTCTCTACCATAGTTCAAGCAATCATCCTTTCTTGCTTGGATTACTAAAACACACTCCTATCTGGTCTCCCTGCTTCTTGGGTGCCACGTTTCCATCCACTTCTCCCAGTATGATTTATGGAAGATGTAAATGTGACTTGTGCCTCTTCCCAGCTTAACATCCTTCAATGGTTCCCTATCACCTTCACCATAATACAAGACTAAGGTCTTATGCAATATGTCCTTTACGTAACTCCCATCTCTTACCATATCCCTGGGGACACCTTAAACTCTTTCCATACCAAACTACCTGTATTTCCTTACATATACCACAATCTCTTTCCGTGGTGCCTTCACTCCTTCTGCCTGAAGCATTCTGTAACTCCCATCTCTTACCATATCCCTGGGGACACCTTAAACTCTTTCCATACCAAACTACCTGTACTTCCTTACATATACCACAATCTCTTTCCGTGGTGCCTTCACTCCTTCTGCCTGAAGCATTCTTTCTCCTCTTTTCCATCTGGATAACTCTTACTTTTCCTTCAATTCCATTATCTTCTGTGGGAAGACTTCCATTGCCCCTGCAGGCTGGGTTAGGTTGCACCTCTGTGCCTCTTGCAATTCCTGTGCATAGCCCAATTACGGCACTCACTTTGCTGCCTTATAATTGTTCACCTGTCTGGGTCTTCCCACCAAACCATGAACTCCTTGAGGGTAGAAAATGTACTTTCATTTCTACATCCCTATCATCTAGCACAATGCCTGACATGTAATGCATATTTGATGACAGTTTCTCAAATGAATGAGGGAAAACTGAACAAACGATAAATTCTAAGGGGATGCCATCCAGTCCTAATTGATGTATTATCTAACTTGTTGATTAGAATGACATTGCCCAGTAGAACTTTCTGTAATAATGGAAATATTGTATATCTGTGCTGAACAGATTTTTTAGTTTTATTTTATTATAACTAATTTAAATTTAATAGCCATATGTGGCTACTGAACACTGCAAATCTAGAACATTCTATGCATACTTAGAGTACTTACATCAAAATAATTGAGGGTGAGTGAGAACACTCCTAAGACTTTTTCAACAAAAACTAAATTGTGAGTTCTTCCACTAAGTAAGAAGCTCCTGGGAAATAGAGATTTACCTTTACGTACCCCATGCCTGTCATATAGATATTCAGTAAACATGTGTTGAATGAACGAATAAATAGTAATACAAATAATCCTTTTCTGCTAATATTGTCTAACAGTCCCAATAATTCTTGAAGTAGATTTCAATCTTTTGAAATTTTTAAAGAATTGGTGACTAATTATTGGAATCTCTTGAAGTACTGTCTTCAAATTACTTCTTGGCTCATCCAGATGCTCATTTTTTATATTATTTGTTATATTTTGGGGTTTCCTTGTTCTCTTCCCTTGAGTCATCTTTCAATGTTTGTTGTTGTTGTTTTTTAAATACCTACTTCCCTGTTATGGTATCTTTGTCTTTGTCATTTAGCCATGCCTTTCAGGGGATTTTTTTAAAAAATTTAAAGATTTTCTTCAGAATATTTACTTATGAGAGTAAAGAAAATTAAACATCTTTCATCAAACTTTAAAGGTACTTTAACAAGCAAATAGTAAACTTGTCAAATATTTGTTCATCCATGCTCAATAAAAGAATGTAAGTAAAAATAAATAAATAAATAAATAAAAACACACATTGATTGTGGTCTTCCAAGAAGATATTTTAAAATAGTTTCCAGACATTTTAAAGGTTTTTTAAATTTTTTTTTATTTTTTAAAGAATGCTATTCTAAATCTTTGTTCTTTTTCTTAATGCCTCCAATTTGACCATTTCCTTTTTAAAAACAAAATAGCGTCATGATACTAATTTCATCTTATTTTCTGCTACAATGTAGAATTAATAGTAATAAATGATTCCAAGTTTTAAAATACTCTTAAAAAAAAAAGGTTAGAGAGGGAAGTGTCTGATCTTGTTGGGAAAGTCTATAATAAC